TTGGCGGGGAAATGCAAATGCATTACCTTTTCTACGGAACAAGTCGCCATACATGTTCCAACCCCCAACCTGGAGGACCAGGAGACTGTGTTCGTCAGACCTCTAACCATTGACCAACCTGGTATGAGAGACTCTGTGGGTGTCGCGCGGACACCCCCCGTATAGGTCAATGGGTCGCCGAGGTACACAAACCGCCACACCACGATAAGGTCCAGTCAGTGTCCTATCAGTGTACGGATGAGGGGGGCGAGATCGCTCATTCAGTATCATCATTGACAGCTGTAATATCCGCGTTTTGTCGTACCATGGTTGTAGCCGCCACATTTTCGTTCACCCATGATTCGGGGAGGTGAGATAAGTAGCTGCGCACTGGGGGGGAGCTGACAAATTAGTGCGCAAAAACAACTCTGTAAGTGGACTGTTAAGTGGGGGGGGGGTTGGGAAGGGAGCTATGCACTGAAAGCAATAGCTTAAATGCATGAGCGCTATTCAGGGTGCGACTGGGTCGTGTCTGACAATGTCTCTAATCATTGGTATGGCCCGTCCCGGGGTCCTCATCCAGGAAGACAATGATGGCGATGGGATCAATCTGGACCGCCACCAGCACGCTGTTGGAGGATACCATGCGGCTAAACGACTTTAGTTATTTCCAAGTTTGGTGCTGTATAAAAGTGTGCAATCCGTACATCGTTGAAGCAGTCACTCACCGTTATCTGTAAGTACAGAGTCTAATCCGAGTCGACCGCCTGAGTCTCAGATGTGCTGCGTCTACCCACTTTTGCATTCACATTCCCCGCAGCTTCAACGATATATAAGCTTTTAGCCCACTGTAGAAGGGTACTCAAGACGCCTCGAAGGCCGTCTTTGATGTTACCAAGGCTACGTTCCGTCAGTGAATAAAGAGACGTGATAAACAGGCAACAATCAACAACCCGCATGCGTGATTTCTCCCCGGACCTTGCTAGACGAATCATAGAGAGGCGACTGTCCACGGGTATTCAGCAAGAATCCTTCAGCCCAGCTCTCCTTAAGGGGACACGTCCAAATGAGTACAGGGAACACGCTTTTTTGAATTTTCCAGCTTTATTGTCACCGTAGCCTAATATCCTTCATACACATAGGGATGTAGATGGAATGAAGCTGCACCATAACGGTACCGCCGGTCGATCTTGGTACGTACTGTGTAGCCTACAACAAGCCGCCTTCCTAGTAGGTGTTTATGGAGGAGTTACTAAACCCGAGGACGTTTGTAGGTACTTACACGTAGTGCAGGAATTGAAGACCTGAGCCCAAGGCCCCCAATGCATAACTTTTTAGCCTCTCCTGTGAGTCTTATATGTTCACTCTGAATCGCATGGTACAAAGCCCCACCACCAGGTAAATTTTTAAACGTCAGTACGAGTCAGGACCGTACCTCACCGACACTCAGGCTGATTGAGACGTCGGATTACCTTCGAAACGTGTCACAAAACAAAAAGCGCCTCTACACTGGAGAAACTGTGCTTTCTACCAGTCCATCGGATAACGTATTGCTTGATGACTTCCCATGCATTGGAGTAGAGGTGGAATATCCGTACATGGTAGGCTGCACAATAAAATGTCTCATTTCTTTTCGGTGTTTAACTTCTGTCTACCCATCCCGTTAATTCTCTTGCATTGAACATTTTAGTGGTCGATTTGTTATCAACAGTTGTAGGCAGCTGTCCTCTCTCATTCGTGCAATAAAAGTGCGGAATGCTCCTACGTATTGAAATGTTTATACTTTTTCTACTGTTACACTCTACACTGTAATGCCTGCCGCACTAGAGTAAGCATTCTATACGATACAACCCACCAATAACTGTCCTGTTCTTACTAGGCTTTCTTCTTTGAGAGCAGGAGTACGTTGGACAAACTGGAAAGAGACTTGTTGTGAAACAGTGCGGCTGCTATGGAACAGTCTTTTCGTGGCTCCACATGCGGTGAAAGGACATTATAACGCGGTTGAATAAGTCTAATAACAGCGAGATACGGCTATATGGTGGTCAAATCACCATTATTTGACGTCGAAATGTGGTTAGATGGCGGTTATTTAACTGTTCGTTAACCGACAAACGCGATTATTTGCATGACCGTTATCAGTGAGATGTATAGCAGAAACGCGCATTTGTATATTATACATCCTGTGATTAATAATCGGTATTTTAACTACCAGATAACCACAAAAAACGGCTTAGTGACGGTTATGATGGTGCAGGTTACCAACCATGCTGGACTGTTAGCAGACAGTTGTATTACAGTCATATAACCGGAAAACGCGTTTTTGACTCCTTGTGCTGCCGAAGGTAGTAGGAGACAATGACCACGCGCTTCCGCAACGATTACCGTCTTCCGGTAGTCAAACGACGCTTAAGGGGTGGTCATAGACGCCGCACCGGACACCGGCATAGAAAACAACACGGCAACATACCCAATGAAGACGTCGACGGTTCCATGCTTTTCGCTACCATTGACGCCGTCGCGTAGCTGAGATTTCTGTCCATGTTTCACACGTGCACGAACGAACAAGGTGAAATGCAGGGCGCAGTAGAACCTACACCTTCGCATATGCAACCTATTTGTGGCAAACACAACTTTCCTGCATCTGCATACACTTCATACGACGACTACTTGAAAATGTCGATTTTGTTAGAATTACTTAGGCTTAAGATTTCAAGTCGCAAGTGTATACACCTACCTCTCAGTTTTATTGAATTATGTATGAGTATTGGTGATGTAAAACCTTACTTACTGAGATTAGGTTCATGGGCTTTGTTTCTGTTTTCCACCCACAGAAATTGGAACATATGTTGTCCATGTTTCACACGTGCACGAACGAACAAGGTGAAATGCAGGGCGCAGTAGAACCTACACCTTCGCATATGCAACCTATTTGTGGCAAACACAACTTTCCTGCATCTGCATACACTTCATACGACGACTACTTGAAAATGTCGATTTTGTTAGAATTACTTAGGCTTAAGATTTCAAGTCGCAAGTGTATACACCTACCTCTCAGTTTTATTGAATTATGTATGAGTATTGGTGATGTAAAACCTTACTTACTGAGATTAGGTTCATGGGCTTTGTTTCTGTTTTCCACCCACAGAAATTGTCGTGAACATATGTCCACTGTCCCCTAGCGCTTCCATAGCGTGTACACTACATAGGGCACGCTATATGAGCACCAGGGGACGGTGATTCTTCGAAGGTAGGGGTTGGCGACATGTCGCCATGTGGGCAGCTGCAGCTGCCCACAAAAACTAAGTTCTGTGAATGGGAAACAGAGAGCTCACTAGCTGGTGCCCAGCAACCAGGGTTGCACATCACCACTGCTTACATACAAATCAAAGAAAATGGAAGGCACTGTATACTACAATACCCCCTTTTTGAAAAACACCGTCCCCGGAGTATGATTGCCTACATGAGCCGGTCCGCGTAAGTATAAACAGTACTGCCTTGAACCACAGTGATGTACGCTTATTCGTGCTGTAATCGTAAACGACTGTGAAAATACCACCTAAAAACAAAGGGTTACTCATCAAAATGCCGTGTTTCCCTATATGTTTGCACAAATAAAAAGGATCACAATCAGGTTTACGCTTCCAGCGTTATGGCAGGTAGTTGAAATGCCGCTGGCTATCTCACTAGCTGGTGCCCAGCAACCAGGGTTGCACATCACCACTGCTTACATACAAATCAAAGAAAATGGAAGGCACTGTATACTACAATACCCCCTTTTTGAAAAACACCGTCCCCGGAGTATGATTGCCTACATGAGCCGGTCCGCGTAAGTATAAACAGTACTGCCTTGAACCACAGTGATGTACGCTTATTCGTGCTGTAATCGTAAACGACTGTGAAAATACCACCTAAAAACAAAGGGTTACTCATCAAAATGCCGTGTTTCCCTATATGTTTGCACAAATAAAAAGGATCACAATCAGGTTTACGCTTCCAGCGTTATGGCCGGTAGTTGAAATGCCGCTGGCTATTCGCACAATTAAATTGATTTCTCGAAATCTACGGCATTTTCAGACTTGCCACTTCATAGTGTAGAATGTCTATGTATAATGTATATGCTCCTGTATTATTGAAAATCCTTTACTATGGTGATTTGTTTAAGTGAACGAAATCTCCAGGTCAATACCGCCCGCCGACTGTGAATACGTAACCTGTAACGCATTTGAAACCCGACTGTACCTGATTGTATGCCTATCATATGACATTATGTGTGTGTATGTATGAAGAAATGGATCAGAAAGATGAGTTTGAACCTCCCGTCGCAGAAATCATCGAGCTCCTCTATTTCTCCCGACCGAACCGTCCCCGCCCTGCGTCCGCCCAATGTCTTCTGCCCCGGTGACGATTTCACCCTGTGGTCTTTTAGAGCCCGTTCCCACCTCAAAGCAGTACCAGTTGCCCAGTACGGGCAGTATCTGCTCAGTCTACTTGACGACTCTGCAGCACGACAACTATAGTTGTCGTTGTTGTTGACAGTAGCACCACCAGCCACCCTGTGGGCGGTCTTGGACGACCTCTTCAACATCAGGCAGCCAACTCTGCTCCAGTTGGAGAGGTTCAGGGAGCGAAAACAGTTACCCGGCGAGTCCGTGGACCAATTTTTGGGGGCCCTCAGGGATCTCGCAACAAGAGTTTACGCGGTGGAAGACCGAACAAAGGTCGAGGCTGAGCTACTACAACAGTTCATCCTGGGGGTATCTCACCTTGGCCTGAAGGCAGAACTTATCCGCCGTTCCCCGGATAATATACGTGACGCGATCCAACTCGCCCGCAGCTATGAGGCAACGTCAGAGTTGGAACCACAACTCCATGCCGTGAAAATAACGGCCGACCCCCGTCCCCGTCAGCTACTACCTGGTAACCGGGATAACCGGCCAAAATAGGTGGTGATGTTAGTGCTTGCTTAAGACGGTTGAAGGCTTCATCACACTCTATGGTCCACGAAAATTTCCGATCTTTTTGGGTAAGCCTGTGGAGTGGTGCACTGACGGCGGCAAATCCTTTGATAAATCTCCGGTAGTATGATGCCAGACCGAGGAAACTACGTAACCCACGGACATTCGTCGGTGTCGGCCACTCAGCAATGTGTCTAGTCTTATCCGGGTCCGTTTGGACCCCATCGGAAGACAAAATATGGCCCAAGAACAATACCTCACGTTGTAG